ATCACTCTTTTGTGGATTTTGGATTTTGTTGTAGTCAAAGGAGGGTGAATGAAGCTACAGCATCAAGTGTATACCTATACACATATACACACACACCATATGTAGTTAGCTGCTGGATAAATTCACATGTTGTTAGCTTGTAACAGAGGGCCTTTGCAGACTGCCAGAAATAGTGCACATTAAATTGAGGCACTGCCCTGGCTCAGTGCTAGGGAATCATGGGAACTGTAATTTATTGTGGCACCAGAGCTCTCTGACAGAGAAGGCTCAATGTCTTAGAAAAAAATACAATTCCCATGACTCCCTAGCACTGAGCCAGGGCAATGCCTCAATTTAATGTGCACTATTTCTGGCAGTCTGCAAAGGCCCAGAAATGTCAAATTACATTCAGTCTGGATCCATACTAGCAAAAATGTTCATACCCATCTCGATTCTGGTGCGGTTGGAACACAAACCTATTAATTACCATGTTCAAAGTGAATTTGCATCTTGTAGGTGTTAATGCGATTTTTACTTTCTTGGGGGGAAAGGGGTGGTTTTTTTTGGATGTGTGCTCTGAGCTCTGAATCTATGAATCGGGATCAGGGATAGCCGGTGTATGTGTTTGTGTGTGTGTGTGGTGATTAGAGGGAGGAAAATGTTGGTTGGAGATTATCTGACCAGATGGTCACCCAATCCTTCGCACCACAGAAGGTTACGCCCTTCCTTCCTTCCAGTCCTGCAAGCATGCGTTGCATATGTGTGTGGGTGGGGGGAGTTAAATTGGGAAGTCTCCATCATAAGGAAATGTATAAAAATTGGGTTAAAAGGATGTTAAATCCAGTTTGCCCATCAAAAGCAATAGTAGAAGGTTTGTTTATTTTTTAAAATCCTGTTATTGTGGAATAAAGATCATGTAGGGAATGTTAAACGTGGTGACATAAACTGAATGGGGAGTCATTTAATTTTCCCTGGGGAGGGGGGTTGTGAATGAACCATTCAATGAGAGTACAGGTGGGGCCGTCCAATTGGTGTGCAGGAGGGCAGTTACAGTGACAGGGGGACAAGAAAGACTATTGGTTGATAATGGATATGCATGCTGGAAAGGACCCACACACACACCCACACACTCACCTGCTCTGTTGATGGGACCCACAAATAATGAATCAGTGAATGGTGGAAACTGTTTGGCTATCAATGTAAATTGAGGTCAGATTATTATAAGTCAAAGGGGTGTTAATGGGGTGAAATCTTGGCAAAATATTGCTAACTCAACCTGAATTGTTTTGCTGGTGTGGATCCAGCCTCAATTTTTAAGGTCTCAGTTCTCAGATACCCAAGTCATGGTGTTAGATCTGCCAAGTTTCCCACAGAGACAGTGATAGCCTGGACAGTTCCGTTCTCTTCTGACTTTGAAATCTGATCACCATTGCCTTGCTTTTGAGTTTATTTTTACTTGAAGAGTTACACAGGATGTTAATTGTTTTACAGAGGTTGCAAAAATGATGCTTTTGGCAGTCAAAGCATATTGCACAAATGTAAATTGCTAGATTCCAAGCTAAATATGCTGCTGTTGTTCTAACAAGAGAATATGATGTAATTCAAACCATTCCTGGACTTCACCCATTAATGTCAGAAAAACAAATATTAGAGTGCACTGTGAGCTGGCAAGATGCTGCATGTCTGACATAAAATTATTTTAAAATTAACAAGAAAAAAAAACAGTTGCACAAAAAGGAGTGGTATGGTGAAATAAACAGAGATTCTCTAAACAAACAGGGACCTTCAGAATTTTTGCCCTGGAAAAAGCACAGCTTGGCTCTGCTGGTTGGGGAATTTTACAAGTAGCAGTCCAAAAAACAAACTTTTCATGATTCCTGAAGAGGACAATAAATCAGGGCTCTTAAGAAACTTCCTGTGGCAGTTATTTTGTCAGAGAGCTCTGGTGCCACAATAAACTATAGTTCCCATGATTCCCTAGCACTGACTCAGAGTGTCAATCTATCTGGAATGTGGTCTTCATCTTTTCCTACCACTTTTTACCTTACCATTACCTTTTTTGTCTTTTCTAGTGAGTCGTGTCTTTTTATGATATGGTCAAAATACAACAGTCTCAGTTTAGGTTGTAGATTAGGAGGTAGGGAGAGTTATCATGTCTCATTTGCTCTAGGGCCCATTTCTAAATCTTTTTGGCAGCTCACATTTGAACTCTTCTCCAGCACCACATTTTAAAACAAGTTGATTTTCTTCCTGTCAGCTTTCTTCACTGTCCAGCTTTCACATTACAACCATACATAGGACGTTATCACACGGGGAGTTGCGGGAAGAAAGTGGAAATAAACCGGACAAGCGGAAGACTTTAATTTACGGGATTTGTCCCATTCCGCCTCGTCTGATAACTAAATTCGAATGTAAAGGGGGGTTAATTCGAACAAAAACCTGATCTTTTCAAATCCTCAAAAATCCCGAAAAGGAAAAGATCAGGTTTGTGTTCGAATTAACCCCCTTTTAAATTCGAATTTAGTTATCAGACGAGGCGGAACAGGACAAATCCCATAAATTAAAGACTTCTGCTCGTGCCCGTTTATTTCCACTTTCTCCCCGCGACTCCCCGTGTGATAACGTCCAAATAAACTGGAAATACAATGGCATGGACATTCCTAACTTTAGCATTAAATGATACAGTGGGCCTTTCCCATCCATGGAGTTTGGTTCCCTCCCCCATGGGGAAAAACATGGAAACTCAATCTCATATTAGTCAATGGGTAGTGATGTGTTTGCACCGGCATCAACATACTCATGGACACACACCACCATTGGCTAATATAGGGTGGGACAATCTGCAGGAACTACAACCCACAGATGAGTAGCCCACCAATGCCATGGACTCACTGTATATCTTGACAGTTCAGGATCCGGTCTAGTTCCTTCATAGGTGCCCTTCCAAGTCTTAGTCCTCTTGAGATTTCTTGACTGCAGTTTCCATTCTGATTAATGGCTGAGCCAAGGATGGGAAATCTTGAAATACACATTTCAGTGTCTTCATCAACCTCTTTAAAGTTAGGGAAACAATCTGTGGTCATTCTTAATGTGCAGCTATAATCCTGCATTTAGACTTCCTTTCTTGACTTTCTTCAGTAATTGTTCCAAGTCTTTGCTATTTTCTGCTAGTAGTATGGTGTCATCTCCATATCTTCAATTGTTGTTGTTCTTCCTCCAATTTTCATGCCTCCTTCCTCCAAGTCTAATATTGTTTTATGTACGATATGTTCAGCATACAAGTTAAACAGATAGGATGATAAAATGCAGCCTTGCTTGACCCCTTGCCAATTGAAAACCATTTAATTTCTCCATGTTCTGCCCTAACAGTACCCTCTTATCCCTAGTAGTTTACTCATCAGGACAAACAAATGTATAGGCATTTTCATTTCTTAAAGAATATTCCATCTATGATCTATGCAGTCAAAGGCTTAGCTATAATCTATAAAGCACAGACTGATTTTCTTAAGTGCACTACATTCTCCAACATATGTTTGCAATATGATTCCTAGTGGCTCTTCCTTTCCTGAACTCAGTTTGGACATCTGCATTATTTGCTCCACATATGGTAAAAATCTTTGTTGTAGAATTTTGAGCATCACTTTGCTTGCATGGGAAATGTGTTCCCATGTAATGTGTTCCCCTGCTGGTCATAGAGTATCCCCACTCTTGGTTTAAATTTCCCTTTGATTTCATGGATCTTGTGAAAAAGGTCTCTTGTTCCTCTTTTTTTTTGTTGTCACTTTCTATTTCTCTGCATTTATTATCATAGTGGTTCTCCTCATCCCTGTACACAAGTCACTGAACATTCAGGGTCCTGATTCTATTTTGCACTGTTTACTTTTGCTTCTTATCTGTCCTTACATCACACATACACAGACAAAAGGGATGACAAAGCAGGATGATTAATTTGTATAACATTGTACACCTTCATTTATATTTTGTGTGTGTATGAAACAGAATTATAGTAACTTTCACCCAAGTACAGGAGACTGTGACCAGTTCACCTTTGTGTATGTGTTGAGACTTTGGTCTAGTAGGGGCTAACTGTGAGCAGAACACCCCTGACCTCCTTCATTATTTTCCTTTGCCATGAAATCTGACTTGGACTGGACAGTCTTCCAAATAAATGTCACCCAGCCCTTCAAACATACAAGTATCCTCTGTAAAAGAGAACACATGGCCAGCTTGTTTGGCTATGAGTCCTTCTAATTCATTTGCTGCTAGTCCCTGCTATGGTTAGTGTTGTGCTTCAATAATTGATGGTAACATGATGAGGTAGAGGCCATGATTATCAAGGAGGCTATTGCTCTACAGTCTACACTCTTAAAATGGGGCTAGGTCATTTTTACTGCTCTGGCTGCCTCCTGTTGAATTCTGGAACTTGTAGTTTAGGCTGGGGCATTTAGAATATTCAGCCAGGTAGCCTTTAAGCTCCAAAATGCAATAGGAGCAGTCAGAGCAGTTAAAGCAATCTAGCCCCATTTTAAGAGTGTGGTGTGATAAGCTCACAAATTGGCCTCTATTTTTGTTGGAAGTCTACCTGATCCCATCCAGGTCAGTTGTGTTCCGAATAGCTTTAGAACAGCTGTGCTAACTGTTGCCCTGTGCCCTTATTTAATGTTGATATAAAAATGTTGACAGCTATTTTAGTTAACAGATTACAAACAGTCATTTCATCTGTAGTGAGTCCTGACCAGGTGAGATTTATCAAAAATGAGCAGGGAGCCAGTAATATCCAATTGCTTGTGGATCTGATTCTTTTAAATTCAGATAGCACTGATTAGTCAGCTGTTATTTCTTTAGTTGCACAGAAGGCTTTTGATAAAAAAAATTGGTTTTGTGTGTCTTCAAGTTGTTTCTGGCTTATTGTGACCCCATCTTGGAGTTTTCCTGGCAAGGTTAGTTCAGAGCGTGTTTGGTGTTGCCTTCTTCTGAGCCTGAGATAGTATGACTTGCTCAAAGTGACCCAGTGGATTTCATGGCTGAGCTGGGAATCGAATCGTGATCTCCAGAATCATAATCCAATGTGCAAACCACTACACTACACTGGCTCTCTTGATAAAAATTTATTGGCTGTTTATTTTCACAATATTGCCTAATTTTGGATTTCCCAATTATTTAAATTTTTTAAAAATAAATTTTATATTCAGTTCCAAGAACATGGATTATGAACAATGTTTTCCCCCTCATCCTTCACAAGTCTGGGATATCCAATGTCTCCTTTATTATTCAACGTGTGCTTGGAAACTTTAGCATGTGCTATTAGACAAAATACTGGGATGAATGGATTTGTGTATATTGTTTTAGAATTTTAAAAGATTCTTTTTGCAGATTATCTTTTTGGTTCATTTCAAAGTCCAAACAGTCAATCCCTGTTTTGATGCAATTGATTAATAATTTTGTTAAAATATCTGGGTATTAAATTAATTGGACCAAGTAAAAAATGCTGCCAGTGGGAGACAAGCTGGATTCTAGCATATTTAACGTGTAGCAGTTTTGATATTACCACACTTCTATTACTTATTTGGGTATATTTATGCCTAGGGACTTCTCTCAGATGATTAATCTTAGTATAAGGAAGCTGATAAAAGATATTGCATAAGATTTAGAGAAACAGGCAGTCTTAAAGATGAATCTGTGGAATAAGATAAACACGATTAAAATTATACCTAGAATTGTTTTATGTTAATAGAATTTCTATATTTATACCTTGCAAGTATTTTCAAATACTAATGCATTGTTCAGGAGATTTGCAGGGTGGCTTATCTCCTAGAATTTTAACAAAAAGAAGGTAAATTCCAAGAGTTTGGCCTTCTGCATCTTCTCATATATCTGAAGGCACATATGTTTTCTTCTATTAATTTTTGGACCTATCAGTAAAATAAATAATCCACCATGGTCAGCCTTGGGGGGGGGTCTTAATTCAAAGGGACAATACTTGGTTCTCATTTTACACACAAAAAGCAGTGTTTTGCCAACAATTTCAGCAGTTAGAACTGCCATGCCAATTGCAGTTTGACCTACATGCTCATGCCAAATTGGAAGTGTGGGGGGGGGGGAATCCAGATTTTAAAAATTGGTAAGGAACTGTTTTTATGAAAGTTGTGGGCCAATAATGGGATCATTAGTTTAAATTAGATACTTGGTGTTAATGGTAGTTTTTGCCTTCTTCAGTTTTGCAGAAGCACTTTAAACTATCAGCTAAATGGCAATATTTACAAATGAAATATTTGTTGCAATCCAGATTTAGCCCTGCAGCTTTAAGTGCATCCAAGGTTCCCTTAATATTAGAAACATTAATTAAGACAAACCAAGTATCCAAACAACAATCTATATTATTATTATCTATAAATAAATGTGACATGTGAGGTATACAGCAAGAATGGAATAAATGATTGGAATATTCATTTCTGAATAATCAATGGCCATTGGTTTTAACATCTATAACTGGTGTGGCTATAGATCTCTAACTACATCTTATGCAGCAGAAATTGTTCTTTTGGGTATATTGGTTGCAACAGCATCTATTAAGGAAAGGGCTTTCTAAATCAGCAAATTCTAGGAGATATAATACTGCTAATGCTTCCTTAACATGTACGTTTTAGGGCTGTCCCGTGGTAGTTACATTTGGGGAGGAAGTAATCACATGAGTAAAATTTATTTTGGAAAGTTCCTTAATATTCAAGGGCATGCATATTCTTTTGAATTATTTACCTTTCTCTTGGAAATTGATAAATGGCCAACAGAAGTAGATTTGTCAAGGCCCTTTGACTGCTCAAAGATTAATACACTCTTCCTTCCACATTCGCAGATTTGGAGGCCGTGGTCTCACTCCTTTGCAGATGGAAAGCTGGGAGGAACAAAATGGTGTGCGTGCCTGTGGCACATGCATGGGAGCACACACCCATTAAAATAAATGGACCTCCAATATTTGCGATTTTTCCGATTCGCGGGGAAGTGTCCGGAACAGATCCCCCACGAATGTACTTTGTTATTGGAAACACAGTTTTCCTCCACCTGCAATCTTGTGCATAGAAGATCTAACGACATGTGAAACATTTGAAAGAAGGATGTATAGACAAAACTTACAAATGGACTTATATTTGGACATTTGATCAGCATTCATAGAAATGTACAACTAGTTGTCTGTCTTCCTTCTGCGTTTATATTTTCCTGCTTTTGTTTTACAGGGATATCCTTGTATAACTGAGATCCCTTTTGAATGTAAATATTTTTTTAAAAAAATTAAAATAACTTCAGAATGAAGGAATGTGCTGATGCATTCTAAGTTTTATCCTAAGTGCCATGGATTCCTTCATAAACACCAAGCAGTCATTTCTCTTTGCCTGTCCTATAGTAATGCTATCTAGCCAAAATTAAAACTGCTTAGGCATATAGTGCTGCATTGTTAGGTAGTATTTCTAGGAAATGGAAACCAAGCGTGGAAAGAATAGAGGTTAGAGGTTATCCCCACAGTCGTCCCACACATTTCATCAAGGTTTTTATGCCAAATGTTTGTTTTGATTGTGTGTGTATGTTTTCCTTTTCAAGAGAAGTTTTCTTGACTCAACAAGCTAATTACAAGAGAATATTCTGTGTAAGGCATTAAATTTACCTTGTGTTAATGGCTCATCCACATAGGCTTATCCTGAAGTAGACAATGTTGTTTGTTTAATTTACATCTTGATTTTGAAAAGTTACTTTTCAAAAACAATTATTTCTGTTACTTATTACAGTGTTTAATAACATTGTTATCCAATACAGTGGGCCCTTGTTATCCACTGAGGTTTGGTTCCAGGACCCTCCGTGGATAATAAAATCTGTGGATGCTCAAGTCCCATTAAATATATTGGCCTAGCAAAATGGTATCTCTTATACAAAATGGAAAATCAAGGTTTGCTATTTGGAATTTATACTTTTTTTTGAATATTTTCAAGCTGTGGATGCTTGAATCCGTGGATTAAAAAAAATCTGTGAATAAGGAGGACTGACTGTATGATGATTTCTTTTTTAAAAGCTCATTACATTATTTGTTGCTCTGCTTGTTATAGTTCCATGACTTTTTCTTACTTTATGAAGGAGATGAAACTCTTAGGATGGATATGAGAATGCCATTGTACAGTGGTACCTCTACTTACGAAATTAATTCGTTCCAGCAGC